AAAATAGAAGGCATTACTTTTGGAGCAGCCCTCATAGTCATTGTGAGTATGAATTATAAAAAAAAAAAAAAACAAAACAAAGCAAGGCCTTTGTCACTATGAAATTTCTCCTGTAAATATAACTTTTAAAAGTCTTGAAGAAACAAATGCAATCCATTACAATACATGAGAGAAGATCAGGCATCTGTTGAGAAAAGCAAGATGAATGTGGATTCAGCATCTTGACTTGACATTCACATCTGAAAGAAAGATCAGTGGGGACCACAAATCTTTAGCTGATGGTTAAGTAAGTCATGAGCATTTTGTCAATAATTGTGTGAATGACCTTCAAATCCAACAGGAGTGAAAACAGTAAAACACATTATTATTACAGGTTGTGCATATTATTAACATGATGATTACCAGAAAATTTGAACAAACGTAGGAGATCTAAACTTTCAAACATCAGCAACCATGAGAACAAGCTATAGCTAAAATTTGTTTCTATATACACTCAAATCTGTAAAGAAATTCTCTGGGTTAATCAGCAGATAAAATTAATTTATTAGCATGAAAACAAATGATTCCAAAGTTGTAATTAAAAAACAAAGAAACAAAGAAACAACAACAACAATAAACAAATTATATTGAAAACTTTGAATTAAATAATGTTATCATCATCATCATCACTGGGAAAGAAGTGTAATAACAGCTTCATGTAACATTTTGATTTAGTTAAAGCTCTAATTCAGAACTTAAAGAATAGACATTAATTCTGTATTTTAAATCAATAATTTCTAACTAAATAAAACTGTTCTAGCTAAAGAGGCCTAAGGAAAAGAGAATCAACTAAATTTTATTTTTATTTTAGAAAAATATGTTTGTGAACTAATATGGTGATAATTCATTACGAAAATGTTTTCCTCTTTCTATTCTTACCTCACTAGTGGATTGTGCTGGATTGTGTCTTTATGTCTTCTGTAAAGGTGGATCCATTTTTGCTTACCAGTGGATAGCGAGTCCTTTGCTCCTATTATCACAGAATCACAGAATTATAGAAACGCCAAGTTTGGAAAAGACCTTCAAGAGCATCCAGTCCAACCATCCACCTATCACCAATAGTTCTCACTAAACCGTATACCTCAACACAAAATCCTTGAACACCTCCAGGATCGGTGACTCCCCCACCTCCCTGAGCAGCCCATTCCAGTGCCTGACCACTGTTTCAGAAAAGTAGTATTTCCACTTTTATCACTTAGACTAATTTAGCCATGGCCTAGCTTTCAAGGTAATTTCCTCTGAGAAAGCTGGTAGTTTGACACTTCTCTCCCCATACAGACAGCTAACTGAGCTATATAGCTAAATACATGGCAAAATCTTAACCAGATCTAGAGGGGTTATCACTATACTAGTTACCAGATTGAAAGAGTATACCTTCATTTCTTTCCTCTTAAAAATTATATTCAATATTCATTTATATTTTTTGTTTGTTTGTTTATTGTGTTTTGAGTACAATACACAGATCGCATCCAACATCCTTCTCCTCCCCAAAAAAACCACAGTCACATTCATACTGACTATTATAAGCAGTTTTTGATTCATGTCACTTGAACCGTGTTTATATACTGTCTGGAAGGATGGCATGAATCAAAACTGTGACAAGCAGCATGCTAAAAATTGAACGGTGCACATGATTGCATGCCACTGTTCTTTCTGTGAAGTGGGCTTAACACAGCTCTGATGTTCTGAGTCAAAATTCCTTCATAATACCAGTCTCATGATGAAAGCTACAGATCAGCTTCTATACAAACAAAAAGGGCTGGAGATCAAGACTGGTTGTCTATCTGCTCCTATGTGACTTAGCCTTCAATTTCAGTTCTGCAGTTATCCAATAACTGGATAATTTTGCAGCCTCTGCATGCTTTGGTTTTCCTTGTGTAAAAATCCATGACTAGCAAGGCCTCCTTCCAAAGGAGACAGATTTAGCTGAAGCCTGCACTGAAACCCAGATTCTGAGAAGTATTCTGGTGCTTCAGTAGCAAAATATATCTACTGACATTTCAGTAATTTCTAACACAATTAAATAATACTTCAGTAAGCATTAAGAATGAATGCTTTTAGATAAAGAAGTTACATCCTGATACACTCTTTCAAGGCCTTGAAATGATTTTCTATGGTCACTCAGATGTTCCTGAAGTCCATGAATAGGACTACATAGGGACCTACTTTTATTTTGTCCTCCGTAAAATTTCAATCTGGTAGAACTGAACTTGGGCAAACTTCACCTAGTAGATTTACATGACCATCCAGCAGAAGGAGACCCTTTTCCTCTACCTCTTGTTTCTTATTCCATAGCTTGAGGAATTAACCTATACATTAGATTATAATCCTATCTGGGTTAATCAATGAGATAAAGAATTTCACAGCTTATTAGAGGAAGATTGGATTATTACTGCTAAATTAGCTAGATGCAACATCAAGCTATCATGAGGGTGATTTTTTTTTTTATAATCGATTTCAAAAGACAGATTGAAAAGACTTGCAGTAAGTGAGCCATCAGATCAGGAGTTAAAAGAAACAGTTCAATTGTTAGCTTAAAGTGTTAGCTTAAACTGTATTTTGTTTGATTTTCGGTCTATTATTCTCGTTCTGTTTTCTTCGTTATTTCTGCCTTTAAATTCCGTTACAATAATAGAATCATAGAATCATAGAAAGGCCTGAAATGAAAAGGAGGGTGTCCTTCCTGTACTGGAGGCCCCAGGCCTGGACGCAGTGCTGCAGATGGGGCCTCACAAGAGCCGAGCAGAGGGGGACAATCACCTCCCTCTCCCTGCTGGCCACCCCTTTTTAATGCAGCCCAGAACACAGTTGGCCTCCCGAGCTGCGGGCGCACACTGCTGGCTCATGTCCAGCTTCCCATCTACCGGATCCCCAAGTCCTTCTCCGCAGGGCTGCTCTCAAGGAGATGTGCCCCCAGTTGGTATAAATACCTGGGATTGCCCCGACCCAAGTGCAACTCCCTGCACTTGGCCTTATTGCACCTCATTAGGTTTTCATGGGCCCACTTCTGCAGCCTGTCCAGGTCTCTCTCGATGGCTTCCCTTCCTCCCAGTGTATCGCCTGCACTGCTCGGCTTGGTGTCACCTGCAAACTTGCTGAAGGTGCACTCGGCGCCTTCGTCTGTGTCACTGATGAAGATGTTGCGGAGGACCGGTCCCAGGACCGACCTCTGGGGGACGCCGCTTGTGACTGGCCTCCACCCTGAGATCTGGTGGCAATTACAGAGACCTGGTGGGACAGATCACATGGCTGGAATGTGGTCGTGGATGGCTGTGTCCTTCCCAGGAAAGACAGGCCAGCAAGGCGAGGTGGTGGAGTTGCTCGTTATGTGAGAGAGCAACTGGAATGCATGGAGTACTGTCCAGGGCTGGATGAGGAGCGGGCTGAGAGACTGTGGGTGGGAATTAAGGGGCAGACTGGCATGGGTGGCACTGTTGTGGGTGTCTATTACAGGCCGCTGGATCAGAACTAGGAAGCTGACAAGGCCTCCTATAGGCAGCTGGTATCAGCCTCGCAATTACAAGCCCTGGTTATCAGGGGGGATTTTAACTACCCTGATCTTTGCCAGAAGGTCTGCTCAGCCAGCCATCCACATCCACCCAAGAGGTTCCTCCAGTGCACTGATGATAACTTCCTGATGCAAACGGTGGATGAGCCAAGTAGGAGAGGAGCGCTGCTGGATCTTGTTCTCACTGACAAGGAGGGCACAGTTGAAGTGGTGGAGGTTGAGGGCAGCCTTGGTTGCAGTGACCAGGAGATGATGGAGTTGAGGATCTCAAGTGGCAGGAATAGAAAACTAAGCAGATTCACCGCCCTGGACTTCAGTAGGGCCAACTTGGTCCTTTTCTAGCAATTACTAGGGGAAATCCCATGGGACAGGGTACTTGAAGGTAAAGGGGCCCGAGATAGTTGGTTAGCATTCAAGGGCTGCAGCTTCCAAGCTCATGATCAGAGCATCCCAAACAGGTAGCAGGTCAAGCAAGGGAGTCAGGAAACCTGCGTGGATAAAGAGGGAACTGCTGGGCTAACTCAAGTCGAAGAGGAGAGTCTACAGATCATGGAAGGAGGGCTGGCCACCTGGGAGGAATATAAGACTGTTGTCAGAGGACGAAGGGAGGCCACTAGGAAAGCTAAGGCCTCCTTAGAGGTTAACCTGGCAAGAGCGGGCAAGGACAACAGAAAGGGCTTCTTCAAGTACACTGCAGACAAAACTAACAGCAGGGGCAGGGTAGGCCCACTGATGAATGAGGTGGGTGCCCTGGTAACAGAAGATACAGAGAAGGCGGAGATACTAAATGCCTTCACTGTCTCTGTCTGTAGTGCTGGAGGCTGTCCTGAGGAGCCCAGATCTGCATTGCTCAGACAAAAGCAATTACACCAGTGCCTGGAATGCTACCTTATGAGAATCCTGAAGTTGTGGGGGCACTGTCCTTGACTGCCATGCCCCCGCCCCCCATCTGCTCTCTTGCTTACCCTGCTCACAGTGGTGGGGTGAACGATATGATGGAACAACTCAGATAAGGAGGGGGAGGTCACACACCAGGTACAACTCTGCACAAAGCAGTTTCAGTTTGAAGAGGATTCATTTAATTACCCATTAAAAAAGAACTGGGATGGTGAGAACTAAAAGCCATCTCAAACCGCTTTCCCATTCTAACTTGAGCCTAACTCAGGTGTTTGAAGCAAGGATGGCAGCAGCGCATCTCAAGGATGCTCCCCAAACTGGGACACGTGTTCACTTGTTGTCAAAGCTCCAATTTTATGTATTTTTTATTATACTCAAGTTATGTCCATAACTCCCCCCATCCCCATGCTGGGGGCTACTGCCAGCCTACTTCCGTGTGGGCTGTGACCTCACAGAGTTATCCCCAACCGCTGGATTATGATCTCATGGCTCTGCCCATGTGATCCAGCGGCCAGCACTTGGCTTCTGCCAGTGCGGTCGTGACCTGCTTTGAGCGATGGTTGTCGACAGCGTTCTCCTTATCCCCAGCCTCCTGCTCCTGGTGGCTGGGGTGTCTCTGCTCACCGTTTCCTGGCGCCGACAGGTAGGGAAATTTGAGGATGGGAGTCACTTGAGGCTAGGTGACTGAGGGCTTTGGGGTGGGGGTGAGGGCTGCCCCGCAAGTCCTTTCACTGTGCCACGTTCGTGTGCCCGTAGGGTTCTGACCGGCGCCAGCAATGGTGGACATGGTGTCTGCAAGTGGTGGCATCGAAGTCAGGTGAGTCCCCTGAGGGTCAGCCTGGCACGTTCCCAGGCAGGGCCAGCCCCCCGGGAGAAGCCAAGCCTCGTACCAGCCTCTGTCACGTGGCAGCCAGGCCGGGTGGGCCTGGAAGATCCCTGGTGCCCCCCTACCCTACTGTGGCTCATGCCCGCTCCCTGTTTTACAGGTGCTGAGAGGCAGGCAGGCAGGCACAGGAGCCCCCTGTGCAGGCCACGTTGCTCCCAGCAGCAAGCATCGCCACGGCAGGGCAGTCCCATCCTGCCCCATCTCATCCAGCCAGGAAAGATCCGGCCTTTCTTGCTGCGCAGTCGGTGCCCCTCTCTGCACACGGACTCTGCCACTGGTACCACGAGCTCTGCGGGGAAACCCGGCAGGCTTCCCAGACAGGACCAGCGCCCGCAGATTCTGGTGGCACGCGGGACCCCCAGGACGCTCCGTCAGCGTCCTAGGCTAGGCGGTGGAGTTGAAGACCTGCCACCTGAGATCTCCAACTTCACAAAGCCACCAGTGAAAGGGAAGGTCTTCCAGGTGGGCCTCGTTCAACGAGAGGAGAGAAAACGCTGGTGGGACTACGAGACCAAGAGGCGTTTTTGGCGTATGCTCTCCCCAGCACTTCCCAAAGTGCACAAGAAAGCAGGAGCAGCAGCAGGACCACCACCAGCTTCAGGCCTGGAGAAAAGAAGACCACAGAACTGAAACCTGCCAGTGCCTAGACTCTGCCTTCATTGTCGTGGTTTTATTGTTGACATATTAATAGAAAACTGAATCTCAGCCCTAAGACCATCGTTTGCATCATACCATTTCAGACTGAGATCTTTCAGATTTTTAAAAAGATAATAAAAGTCTCAATACCCTTCAGAGAATTGTTATCCTTATATCTTTTAGCAATAAATAAGAGCAAGCTCTTTCTGGAATGAGCAGTTTCAGAGCGTGTAAGACTGCGCTGGGGAAGGGATCTGAAGCAAAAAGGGCCGATGAAATGCTCTTCTGGGGGCTTCTTCAAGCCAGCCAGCAAAAGTGCTTTGCCTGTGTCAGGGGGCTGCCAGCTTGGTGTCACCTGCAAACTTGCTGATAGTGCACTCGACTCCTTCATCTATATCATTATAAAGATTTTGAATATCATGAGCTCTTCTCTTGAATTGCAAGAGCCCTTAACTCTTCTTTCTTTTTTCCATTCACATTTATCAACTCCTTTACTTATGTTGAGCTTTTTCAGGGCCCAGGAAAATATAATATATTTGAAAGGAGATATTCATGTCACTTACTTCATCGAAAATCTCTTCAATCTGTCTGTTTTCATCAGTCGCTGTGCAAAGAAACCAGGCAGAGAGATTTTTTAGTGTCTTCAAAACCTTGTTTTTACATAGCCAGTGTGAGAAAGATGTGAATATTCCTTCATTGTTTGTCAACTGAGCTGGCACACAAAGGCTGGGATTTCCAAATAAGAGAAAATATTGCCAGCAAAGAAGCAGTGCTTTGGATAGCATTGGTCATCTGTAGATCTCAAAATGCTGTATGAAGGGGAATCTTCAGTAATACTAGATTTACATAGCAGGACAAATATAATATGTTGTTATTACATTTTCCTTCTGTTTGCCAAGTATTCTATGAATGTTCAGGATACACTTTAATGTTGTGGATACAAGAGATACAGCTGAGCAACCAGAAATTTCATTGCAGAGGTACAAGCTAATGTGCATTATATGAAGTACTATAGTCAAACCCACTTCCCCACAGCAGAGTACGTCACTTAAGTATCAGTATCACAGCATTTGCATTTGATTGTTTTGTGCAGCTAAATTCAATATCATTGACAATGAACTCCAACAGAAATAAATGCAGTTTGGTTCTGTAAGGGACTACAATTCTGTTTTGGATGTTAATTATCTTTTTGCTAACTTATATCTTTTAATGATGCATAATAACATACTCATTTGCAAGCTCCTGCTAAGCTCCATATCTTCTCTTTTCTGCTTTCTCTTACAGAAAAAAGATACTAAATGACCACTGGCAAAAATTTTTTTGAGAAAAAAAATGCAAGTGGAATTGCATTAACATAGATGTTCAAATGTTTTTAATGGTCCAAGTGTTGACTGAAATGCTAAACTGCTCATATTATTTATATCATGACCACTCTTGCTTATTTGGATGAAAAATTAGAAAACAATCATGTATTTAATTTTCTTAAGAAAAAAAGTTCATGGAAAAAAAAAAAAGAATTGAAATAATTTACCACATATGTTTGCAGCTGTGAGAGAAAAAAATACATATACAATGACTTAATGCAATCTTAGCACAACATTATGTGAAACCCTCTATCTAGGTACTGCATAATTTTGGAGTAAATGTTGCTGACATCCCACTTAATCAAAGCAGCTTAATACAATACATCTCTCTTAATTGCTAAATAGATTATTGAGATTTTTACAGGCTATAGACTGATCCATTAATTGGTTGTCAGCAGAAACAAATTCATGAACAAATACATTACTATACACTAGCAAATGCAGTTACAAAATTTGTTCTTGATCACAATTCCCCTTACAGTTTAGTTTACTTATGAATTACAACTTGTTTCTATTCCACTTTCTGTATATTTTTTGCCTATGTCAATTACATAGTCATTAGTGGGAAAATGAAATAAATTAATCTATTCTCTTTTGTATAAGGCAGGATTGCTTACCTGGGTGCTGGTCCCATTTTAGCTGAAGACAGTTTCAGGAACTGTCCTGGAAGAAGATGCAAGAACAGCCAGCACTCAGCTGCCTTCTCAGAGGAGTCTCAGGCATCCACGGACAAGTGAACTGCTATGTCCTGAGCACCAACCATCCTGGGCACGTGCAAAAGTTCATCTCTGCACATGTGCATTGCATTTTCTGCTTCCAAGCTAAGCATGAATTCTCATGTTCCTCCACTGAACAACTGTCTTGCAGTTGTGCTCTTGGCTTTCAACAGGTCATCTTTTGCCCACGTGCAAGAAAATGTTTCACACATATGCTGTTAACATAATTGTTTCTTCAAAGCTGCAGGTTCTCTGTTCACGCTCAGCAGACTTAGCACATAAGGCAGAAGGAGCTGTCCTATTAATGTTTCTGGAACAGAAAATTGCAGGGATTTCACTCTTACTTTATCCCCAGGCATTCCTGTCCTAAAATATCATTATTACTAATACTGATAAAATGTGATGAGTTGTCAGTAACAACTTCAACACTTCAGGTACAATATGAACCAAAAGTCCAGGCTAAGCTTTCCTGGGCTCAGTGGCAAATCAGCAGAGCTTGTAAAAACAGAAGAATCATTTAAACACCTTTAAAACACATGAACAAAGTAAACTGAAGCATTTGGCTGTAACTAGAAGCTGTTAAAGATACAAAGGCTGTAAAAAATGCAAAAAAATTAAATGAGTCTCTATCTATGTGAAAAGCATAGGCAAATTAATATCTATGTGTGCATAAAGCTATTTTATTTTTACATTTTATAAATTCATTTAAAGCTCATTGAGAAACATTGATTGTGGTTAACACGTAGAACAAATTATTGTCTTCTTATGGCACTTAAAATAATAACATGATAAAGACACTTAAAAGCATAGTACCCCCAGACCAAATAATTCAGTTCATCTTAACCCACACTTAGGAAGGAGGAAATGTACTTGAAAATATAAAATAAAATTGTTCAACATTTGTTACACATTGTCCCTGTTCCTGGGAAGTTCCAACAGCAGTGAGAGGTTCACTGTAAAATCATCCACTTAGCAATCTGAGCAAAGAAAGTGCAGAAGGAAATGGAAGTAGCCACATGAAATTGTGCTCTTTTTCTGAACTCTGTCAACTGCAAACTTTTGAAGAGCTTTTTCCCATTTTTCTCACACTTAATCTAACCCAAAAATTCATTTCTCTTTTATTTTCTAATACCAGTATGGTTTATGATTGCTGCTTCTCTCATCATAACACAAGCCTTGGCTGAACTCTGAGCACCTGAGTGTGTGTACTCAATAATTTGCCCAAGTTCTGCTTTTTTCATGAAGTGGACACTGGCTAGAGCACAACAGTGCTTCTCTTTGCACTTGCTGCTCTTTTATTTTCTTGACAGCTCCTGCCTCACCCTTACCCCATTCCTTTTAATCTACTTCCTTAGATCCTCCCCACTCATGCTCCGAACGAGCTTTGAATTTCACTGCACTGCTTGTTCATAATGCATTTATCCAGTTTGCCACCTCATGCATTAAGTCTGCCTGAGGAAGGGGGAAGGATCCACGCTCAGAATTTTGCTCGGACTGGCAAGTGAAATCTAACCAGAAATTTCAAAAAGGAAAGAACTGAAGTTTGGCTTTAAGTGATTGGCAATTCAGAGTACATTTAATCTAATGCTTGTGCTGCAGTACAACCTACAACTTTATGCACGGTTCCTGTGGGCAACACATTAAGAGTCCTGCACTGAGGTCACCTTCCATGCTCATAGGCCACACTTTGGTTTATATGCTACTACTGAATGTCCCATTTCCAACTAAAGATGTTGAGTTTTTTTGAAAGATCTACCCTTCTGCCCCATCTGTCCGCCCCTTCTGTTTCCTTCCATGTTAGCAATGTTAGCATTAGAAAATGTAGTTAGTCTTCAGTGTAGTCAAAGTAACAGCAAAGTGAGCAGGTGGCAGCAAGAGTGGAAGACAATTCAAGGGCACCTTGGGTAGTGAGATAGGAAGGGAATGTGAAGAAAGAAGTACTGAGAGCTCTCTCCCAGCTGACCATGGAAGCAGCTTGTGAAACCGGAAAGTTAGAAGAACTGCGCTCCCTTCCCGCAGGTGCCTGCAGCTTCATGAGAAGTGATTGTTGCTGTAGGACAACCTTTTTCTCATACGATCAGCATGCGCAATTTGAAGTCTTTTTCAAGACCCTCTGGGCCTCTTCATAGAATCATAGAATCACCAAGGTTGGAAAAGACCTAAAAGATCATCCGGTCCAACCGTTCACTTATTCCCAATAGCTCCTACTAAACCGTGTCCCTCAACACAACATCCAGCCTTTCCTTGAACACCCCCAGGGTCGGTGACTCCACCACCTCCCTGGGCAGTCCATTCCAGTGCCTGACCACCCTTTCTGAAAAGTAATACTTCCTCATGTCCAGCCTGAATCTCCCCTGCCGTAGCTTGAAACCATTCCCCCTGGTCCTATCACTAATGACACGAGAGAAGAGGCCGACCCCCAGCTCACTACAACCTCCCTTCAGGAAGTTATAGAGAGCAATAAGGTCTCCCCTGAGCCTCCTCTTCTCCAGGCTGAACATTCCCAGCTCCTTCAGCCTCTCCTCATATGGCCTGTGTTCCAGACCCCTCACCAGCTTTGTTGCCCTCCTTTGAACACGTTCCAGGGCCTCAATATCTTTCTTGCAGTGAGGGGCCCAAAACTGGACACAGTACTCGAGGTGTGGCCTCACGAGTGCTGAATATAGGGGAACAATCACCTCTCTGCTCCTGCTTGCAACACTGTTTCTGATGCAAGCCAGGATGCCATTGGCCTTCTTGGCCACCTGGGCACACTGTCGCCTCATGTTCAGCCGAGCATCAATCAATACCCCCAGGTCCATTTCCTCTACGCAGTCCTCCAGCCACACCGCCCCAAGCCTGTAGCGTCGCCTGGGGTTGTTGTAGCTGAAGTGCAGGACCCGGCATTTGGCCTTGTTGAAACTCATCCCATTGG